AAATTTTTAATGCCTTAATAACTTTCCCCAGAAACGTGCGCCAAATTGGCCAAAGCGAGTAGCATAAGCGCAACTAGGCTCCAAATTTGAGGGGTGTTGCAGCACCATTTTTTGTGGGTTTGTACTTACGTCATCATTTGCCTTTTTTTAAAAAAAAATGATTTTTTTATGTCTGAAATTTCAAACAAACATATAGTTTGTTTCACGGCACGCAAGTTTTTACTTACGTCATCGATGACGTCATAACTTAGAGAAAAAGTTATGTCATGGATTAATTCATGGAGCACCTTCGGAATTATTGTTTGTAATACATTTTTTAACTTAGAAGAGAATTTATTCAGTTATCCGAAAATATATAAATAAAATTTCTCCTAGAGTGATTTTTCACTGTAAATTTTTGAAATTTTCCTTCTGCCAGTTTTCCAGAAAAAAATTAAAATTAAAAAAATGAATTTTGGTTAAAAGTTAGTTTTCCAGAATTTCTTCTGGAGTGATTTTTTACTGGAAAATTTTGAAATTTTTATACATACATATAATGAACTTCTCACTTTCCTCTTTCTCCTGTAAAAATTTCAAAATTTTTCTTCTGCTAGTTTTCCAAAAAAAAAAAATGTGAGAGGATGAATTTTCCTTAATTTTACTTGAAAAAGTCGATTTTCCAAGTGATTTCTCACTGGAAAATTTCGAAATTTTCCTATAATGAGCTCCTTATTTTCTTCTTTCTCTTGGAAAAATTTCACAACTTTTGCTTAATTAGTTTTCCAGAAATAAATTGGAATGTGAGAGGATGAATTTTCCTTAATTTTGCTTAAATAAGTCAATTTTCCAGAATTTTTCCTGAAGTGATTTTTTACTGGAAAATTTTGAAATTTTGTTTTAATGAGATCCTCACTTTCCTCTTTTTTCTGAAAAATTTCCACAATTATTCTTTTGCCAGTTTTCTAGAAAAAAAATTAAATGTAAGAAAATGAATTTTGCTTAAAAAAGTCAATTTTTCCTTAGTTATTGCATTTTCGAAAAACTCATAATTTTCGTAATTCCCCCATAACTTTTTCGTAATTTTCCCATAACTTCAAAAATCATAATTTTTTCGTAATTCCCGTAATTTTTTGTACTTATTTTTAATTCTCCTAATTTTTTAAAAAACTTCGTTATTTTTAAATTCTCCCCAAGTTTTGTAATTTTCATAATTTCAAAAATTCGTGATTTTCATAATTCCTATAATTTTTGTAATTCTCTTTATTTTTATAATTCCAGTAATTTTTCGTAATTCCTGCAATTTTCCGTAACTTTTCAAAAATTGCGAAAAAGTGAGTGTCAAAATTGCTGGAAAGTGACGTTGGAATTACGAAAAATAGAAGTAAAAATTACGGAAAAATGAGGTTGGAAATGTTGGAATTAGGCAATCCAACGACCTGTCCAAATGGCGTCTGGTTGGCAAACAATAAACAAAACACATAATATGTTTTTTATTGGCAGGATTAAGCCTAGTACTCATAATTTGCTCTTTTTTGACATTGCATCGACAATTTGACGTTGAAAAAAGAGCGAATTTCGCTTTTATGAGTACCAGGCTTTATCAATACACGGGACGAGTTCTCAAATCTGACACTTTTCTGACATCGTTGACATGTAAAAACCCGTATTCTAACCTCATAAAAATTTCAAAATGCCGGCTGGTTGGCAAAAGTCACGTGGTTTGGATTCCCTAATTGCGAAAAAGTTGAGTAAAAATGGCGGAAAAGCAAGGTTATAATCGAGAAAAAAATGAGGTTATAAATACGAAAAACAAAGGCCGTGGCTAAAGTAACAGAGGTGTTACTATAATTATTTTTTTAAAGTAACATCAATTCAATGTTGTCACTGATGAAAACGTTACTTTTAATAGGGGTTAATAGTAACGGAGGTGTTACTCTAATTATTTTCTTGAAGTAACGTCAATATAGCAATATGTAGATAGGTAATTACTTTCTTTAGCAATTTAAAGGAAAGGTGGTTCTTGGCATTTGTTTAAGAGTAAAAATAGAAATAAATAAAAAATAACCTGACTTGACTTTGAAGAATAGAATAGAATACTTATAAAACAGGCACAATTATAGGCAAGGCAGGAAAGACACATTTTCTTATGACTGTCAGAAAGTGACAATTTGTTACCTTTTTTTCAGGTAGGAAAATAGTAATTTCGCCTCCCTATGGAGGAAAGTAAATTATTTTCCTTCCTAGGCAGAAGTTTTTTCGCTGTAGATTATCATAGTTTTAGCTCCAAATTAAGAAATTACCTATCTTCATTTGCTGAAAAAAAATGCTTGAAGTTGATGGCCATTATTTTATACCGCTAATGATTAAAAATGGAAAACTGAATTTTCACTTTGCACACTCATAAAAAGGTAAACAATCGAATTTCACCTGCAGGAGAGAACTATACCTACACTCCCGTTCCTTTGTAAGGGCATGTGAGGAATAGGAATATGGAGACGCCGTTTTTCTCACAAAAGATTTGTATTATCAATATTTTGATTCAAATTTTTGGTTTATAAAAAATAAAATATTATTGTTATGTTGTTGAATATCACCTTTACTTGGTTTAAATTGCTAAAGAAAGTACCTACCTTTCTTCTATATATTGCTACTATATTGACGTTACTTCAAGAAAATAATTAGAGTAAACACTTTGGTACTATAACCCCTATTAAAAGTAACATCAGTGACGTCATTGAACTGATGTTACTTTAAAAAAATAATTATAGTAACACCTCTGTTACTTTAGCCACGGCCAAAAACAAAAGTAAAGATTATGGAAAAATTAGGTTGAAATTGCGGCAATGTGAGGCGAAAATCGCGGAAAAGTGAGCTTATACTTATTGAAAAATGAGGAAAGAATAACGGAAAAGTGAGGCAAAATTCGCGGAAAATTTTGTTGAAATTGCGAGAAAGTGAGTTTGGACTTTGAAATTGCGGAAAAGTGAAGGTTAAATTGCGAAAAAAAAATTGTTGAAAGCCGTTATTTCTCAAATAAATTTCGTTATTTTTATAATTTTTCCTTAGTTTTTGCAATTTTTGCAAAACTCCTAATTTTCGTAATTCCCATAACTTTTTCCTAATTTTCTTAATTTTTCGTAACTTTCCAAAATTCCCGTAATTTTTGAATAATTCCTGTTGTTTCTCAGATTTTCGTAGTTTTTTAATTTCTGTAATTTCTCAAAATATTTAGTTACCTACTTATTTTATAATTCCCCCTAAGTTTTTGTTACTTTCAAAAATTCGTAATTCTCGTAATTTTAAAAAAAAATTTATTGTGAATTTTCATTATTTCCGTAATTTCTCAGATAATTCTCCCTATTTCTCTAATTCTTCCTTAGTCATTGCAATTCTTGGAAAACTCGTAATTTTCGTAATTCCCGTAACTTTTTCATAAATCCCGTAACTTACCAAAAATTATCGTAATTTTTTCGCAATTCTCGTGATTTTTCCTTATAGGCCAGGAAACATAGGCCGAAAAAGAGGGTGTAGGCGAAATAATTCTCGGAAATCTGGAAATCGTTTTAATCTCTTTATTTGCATGTAAAAAAGGGTTTTTAAGGTTTGCACCAATTTTCCGCTTGTGCTACATACGGGGTGTCCCGAAAACCTCAAATTTTTTGTATTATTTTCAGTTTTTTACTGATTACTCCGAAATTATGCATTTCTATGAAAATTTTACTCTTTTATAAATTAAAGTACGTAAAATTCTACGTCGAATAAGCACAACATATTAAAATTAAGTCAAGTGGTATGGCCCATATGCATGTTGAAAAACAAACATTTTTCCAATTTTTGAAGAAATAATCATATTTTGGACTTTTAAACCTTGTTTCCGATAAGTTAAGTATTATATGAAATTATTATGTGTTCGGAGTTTATACTGCACCGAATACTGTGGGTATCACAAATATGTAATGCCGGCCCTAGACACATCACGAATATGGGTGGGTATTCCTGAATATTTGCAATGTGTCAGGGAGAGTACATTCATCTATTGTCGGAATTGACTTTTCTCATCGCCAGATAAATCGCAAAATTTTCGCGGTTCTCTATAATCGCGAAGTGTCTGGGCCCGGCTTAAGATGCATCTTTCTTCCCCTTCCCTTGCTATCTATACACGCCGCGCCGAAGCAGCAGCATCGCCCGACCCGAGTCGTAGCCGTTTAACGTTGCGGTAAAAAACTGTTTTTCGCCGTTTTTTCATCCAGGAGAATATTTTCCAGTTTAACTTATTTTCTTAGCCCAGTGTGCGTTGTAGTGACGTTTTGTGAAAAGTAATGGAGGATTCAAAATGTTTCATCTGTGGTGATAGTTTACAAGGACAGGTGAGCTGTCTCAACATTGTATTTCTATTTTTAAAACATCGGTTTATCGATCCTAATACTGGAATATTATTTAAAATTAGTAGCTTTGTTTGTTTATCTGCACCAAAGTTACACCAAGCTGCACCTGATCAGTGAAAAATAATGTCTGTCTCTGTCAGCCTAACAAAAATATAGAGATAAACATACTCGTTTGAAGTAGAAAGATTAGTTTGGTGCTGGCTGGTGCAAATAAACAAAGCTAGTGTTTGCTCAAGACCACACGGTACAAATGAAAACTTCAACAAATCGAGATCAATAATATGAAATACCTTTTTTTTACTCAAAAAGTTACCTAGAACATTTACAATTAATACAATAATTATAAATTGCGTAAAAATAACTCTGATTAATTTTCGCTCTGCTGATTGTGTTTCTCTCTTCGAAGTTTTTGACGTGCCTACTTGGCCATTATTTATTAATGCGGCATTCTTGCTATGTCATGTGAGTGATTCACTTGTACAATAGCACTGACTTTCATTTATATCTCACATGGCACATTATCAAATTCTGGCCAATATTGTCTAAATATACGCAATATTGGACAAATTTAAATATATATTCGAACAATATAGTGTGCTACTTTTTATTTTTTTTATAAAATTGTCATTGTTACAGGTGACAACAGTAAAAGAAAAAGGTATTCTAACTTTCATGGATAGTAGTAAAAAAAGAAAGGATGGGAAACACATTTTGTTAAAGGATGAAACCTCTGTAACTGTTCATGAAAAATGCAGAAAAATCTACAATAAGCAGTCCTACATTGATGCTGCACTAGCTGAGCAGTCTTCTAAACCTAGCGCCTCTAGGAGATCGAATCAACCGCTGTTTGATTTCAAGGGACACTGTCTCTTTTGTGGAAAAGATGCCTCCGATCAATTTATAGAAAGTCACAAAAAATTAAACCAATCACGACGCGAAAAAGTTCATGAAGTGACTAAACTGGATTTTAAGCAAAAGGTTATTGATGCAGCTAAAACAACCAGGAAAAGTGATGAATGGAGTAACGCTGTAGTTTTTCGAATTGAAAATGAGATTGATCTTATTGCAGCTGAAGGGAGGTATCATGGATCATGCTGTAAAAATTATTTCGGAGAATATGTACAATCAGGAACAAAGCGAGGCCGCCCAGAGGATGAAGAAGTGACGGCTGCAGTAGATTACATATGCAGATACCTTGAAGCAAATGAAGACCAATGCCAGTTTGTACTGAGTGATATTCTCAAAGATTATAGTGAACCAATCCCAACAACCCTCATTCTGAAAAAAAGGCTCGAGAATGTTTATGGAGACGACATTATAGTTACAATTGGTAAGAACAGATTCAGTCCCAGTATAATATGCTTCAAGAACACAGGCTACACGATCTTGACTGAGAAATGGTACGAGTCAAAACTGGCTGACAAAGAGGGAGAGAAACTCCGTGTGGTAAAAGCAGCTGCTGCCATAATCCGTGAGGACATTCGTTCAAGAATATATAACTTCACCTCCTATCCTGCACCTAACAGTTTTTTAGATAATGTTGAACACGACATACCGGAATCGCTTGACTTGCTCCTAAGATCAACTATTATTGCCCCTAATAAGAGTCAAGATAATGACAAAGTCAATACCAAAATTACATCCATCGCCCACGCAATTATTGCAGCTACGCGACCGAAATCTTATCGATCAGCGTTACAAGTTGGCCTAGGGGCGCTTATTCATCGAAAATATGGCTCAAGGGATCTCTTGGAGATTGTTTCAGCGACAGGATTTTGTTGCACATACAATGAAGTGCAACATTATGAAATTTCATGCTTGACACAACGAAATGAAGATATAGTACCATCAGAATCGCTCAGACAGTTTGTCTTTGACAATGCTGACGTAAACATTGGCACATTAGATGGCACCAATACTTTTCACGCAATGGGAGGCATCCAGTGCACTACACCTGAGCCTTCAAAATCTGAAGGAACTATTATGGAGAGAGTAAAAAAAATCCCTAATGCAGGAACCTTGGGCGAATTCGGAGCAATGCCAATCGTTGCTTTTCAAAGGAAAGCTAAGACAGGCCTTTGTGATATTGACATACTCGACCTTGACGAGAAATTGCCTAGTTTCGAGATTAAGCTATTGCCCACTGATTTTATATGGGCGTATGGCAAATGGCAAGGACGTAAGGACATTCCAGGTTGGAATGGGTTTATGGAAAAAGTTACTAAGGACCGATCTTATTCAAAATCAGGCATATTGTGCCTACCATTCATCAATGCCCCGCCATCCAGCTATGATACAGTTTACTCAGCACTGCTTTATGCTGCAAATAAATGCAAATCACTTAAACAGGATTCATGTTTCGTAACGTTTGACCAACCCCTTTATATAAAGGCAAGAGATATTGTAGCTTCTTCATTTGGTCCTGATTCAGAAATCAGTTCAGTAATCGTCAGGCTCGGTGGATTCCATTTACTCATGTCATTCATGGGGGCTATCGGTTTTATCATGGATGGCAGTGGGTTACAGGAGCTATTTAGCGAGGCTTACGCAGCTACATCAACCAACAAAATGATGACAGGACACGCTTACTCACGAGCTCTACGGGCACACATTTTGGCTCACCTTGCAATGAGTAATATTGTATTGTCCATGCTGGATATAGCAGAGAAAGAACAGTTAGCTTTTTTAGAGCTTATGAGTCATGTAATGAGTGACAGTGCATCTGCCGATATTGATGCTCCTGAAGTTAAAAATATTCTTGACAAGTTTTCGAACAAACTTGAGGAGTTGGAGTCTAGAGGAGCAACTGCTAGACTGTGGGTGCAGTATTTCAAAATGGTAACGATAGTCAAGAAATTTGTCCAAGCTGAAAGATCCGGTGATTGGTACCTGCATCTTCAAAGCATAAGAGAAATGCTACCCTACTTTCACGCCAGTGGGCATTTTTTATACGCGAAATCATGTCATTTATACCTTCAGGATATGTTGAAACTAAAATCCCGTCTGACTCCCAAGGATCATGAAATGTTTGTGACAAACGGCTTTTTCACTGATATGACCATAGAGCAAAGCCTGATGAGAGCTATGAAAAGTTCAGGAGGTTTGAGTCGCGGCAGAGGAATAACGGACAGCACATTGGCTAAATGGGTTGCGACCATGCCTACAATTATGGAGGTATCCCAGCAGGTAGAGAGCTTTTGTGGTGTTTCATTCTGCACTACTGAACAACATGTGGATGCAAGGTTATCGAGAATTACTAGAGATAACAGTGACTGCAAGAAATTCGTAGACTGGTTTCTTTGCCACAACCCCTTTCCAGTAGGAGAGTACGTAATGTCACTGTCTACCGGAGTTATAGGAGATGAAAACGTAAATTGCCATCTTTCAGACCAAATCGGAAGTTCCAGTCTCGAAAGCATTATTGGAAGCAATTTTGGTCAAGTGAAGTTCTCCAGAAAGAAAAGAGTGCTACCAATGCGTGGCTTCACCAGCAGTGTCAAGTTGCATAACGAAGTAGTGCCAGTTGACCTATATACCATTTTCAGGAGAATCTCATTTCATAAAAAAACCGAATACGAACTCAAAAACTACTTTACATATGAATTGGCTCCATACCCACCATCTTCATTTGATGAACAAGGAATGATGAGGAAGTCACGTAAATCCGTTTTCTATGATTTGTTTAATCCAGTGGAAACCCCGTCAAACATCGGAAGTGCACTTTATGTGATCGACGGTGGCTTTCTACTTCACCGAGTACCGTGGGAGTTGAGGGAAAGATTCTCGTCAATACTTAACAAATACGTGGAATATGTCAAAAAATACTTTGGGTCACGATCAATCATTGTATTTGATGGCTATCCAGACGACCCTGGAGAAAAGAGCACAAAATCTGCAGAACGCCTCAGAAGAAACAAGTTCATGGCCGCAAATGTTAAGTTTGACGAATCCATGTTATTGACAATATCAAAAGATAAATTTCTTTCGAATGAAGGAAACAAAAAACGAATGATCTCAATGCTGATCAAGAAATTTTCAGAGGAAAATATCTCTGTCGAACAAGCTGCAGAGGATGCCGATATAACCATTGTCCGACGAGCTATGGAAAATGCTACACACTCTGAATGTGTGGTTGTGGTAGGAGAAGACATAGATCTTTTGGTAATTATTACTGCGTTAGCTCCTAATAGCGATTCGTTATTTTTAATGAAGCCTGGGAAAGGAAAGTTAGAGACCGTTTTTTATTCCCCGACACATTTCAAAATGTCGAACAAAGTTAAAGGAAATATTTTATTTCTTCACGCTTTTAGCGGCTGTGATTCAACATCAGCCATTTTCAGACAGGGGAAGATGAAGCTTGTGAAGCTCCTCGACAAAGATGCGGAGATACAAAAAGCTGTCGAGATATTCCAAAATAGTAATGCGAGGGCGAACAAGTTATTGCGGCTTTGTATGCCGGATCGCTTCTCCGATCTTCCTCTCTGAATGAAATACGCTTTAAACTGTTCACCAAATCCTTAGTACAAAATAACTTCAACCTGGCTACTCTTCCTGCAACTGAAGAAGCTGCTAGACTGCACTCAATGAGGGCCTTCCTACAGGTTAATTTGTGGAATGGTCATGATATGGATCCAGTTCAATGGGGATGGAAGATAACTAAGCATGGGCTGCTCCCAGTACCATCGACAGCCGAACAAGCCCCGCAGGAGTTGCTTAATAACACTGCCTGCAAATGTTCAAAGGGGTGCCGAAATGCGTGTGGTTGTAGGAAACAAGGAATGAAATGTTCTCCAATATGCTATAATTGTAGAGGAGCGTCCTGCAGCAATACACCAGATGAAATTATTGACGACACAAACTTAATGGACGACGAAGTAAAGCTATCTGAGACTGATGACGAACTTGATGAGCTTCCGGATGACGAAGACCTTAAAGTGGACCAATTGATTCAGTCAGCTTCTACTTCCAAACGCAGCAAATTCAATTAACGTTAAATGTATTTAATGTATTTTTATGTGAATTATCTACATATTTAAACTTACATCAAAGCCATTTGTACTTAAACTCAATTTTTTACGTCTCAATTACACATTTACATCACAATGGCGCTTTATTTTTAACATGGCTGTTTTTTGAACCTTAATAGCGTCCATACCACTTGACCCAAATATAACTATGTGGTGTCCATTCGACGTAGAATTTCACGTACTTCCATTTATAAAAGAGTAAAATTTTCATAGAAATGCACCATTTCGGAGTAATCAGTGAAAAACTGAAAAAATACAAAAAAATGGAGGTTTTTGGGACACCCCGTATGTAGCACAAGCGGAAAATTGGTGCAAACTTTAAAAACCCCTTTTTACATGCAAATAAAGAGATTAATACCATTTCCAGCTTTCCGAGAATTATTTCGCCTACAAACCCTATGTTGCTTGGCCTATTATCTCTTCCAATCTTTATATTTCCTGTAGTTCCTCAAATTTTCGTAATTTTGTAATTCCCGTAATTTCTCAAAAAAACTCCGTTATCTTTATAATTCCCCCCCAGTTTGTTGTGATTCTCAAAAATTGGTAATTCTCATATTTTTTTTTTCTTGGAATTTTCGAAAATTCTTAAATTCCCGTCATTTTTCAAAAAATTCTCGTTAATTTCATAATTCCCCCTTAGTTTTTGCAATTTTCGGAAAATTCGTGAATCCAGTAACTTTTTTAATTCTTGTTATTTTCGTAATTTTTTGAAAATTGTCACAATTTTTTTAATTCTCGTGATTTTTTCGTATTTTTCATAATTTTTGAATAATTCCTGTAGTTTTCAGATTTCCGTAATTTTTTAATTCCTGTAATTTCTCAGAAAACTCCGTTATTTTCATAATTTTGAAATTATATAAGTCTCGTATTTTATTTTGGGAATTTTCGAAATCTTGTAATTCCTGTCATTTCTCAGATAATTCTCGTTATTTTCCTAATACCCCCTTAGTTTTTACAATTTTCGAAAAACTCGAAATTTTCGTAATTTCCATTACATATTTTCGTAATTTTTTAATTTCCGTAATTTCTCAAAAAAATTTCGTTAGTTTTATAATTTTCTTTTAGTTTTTGAAATTTTCGAAAATTGGTAATTTCCGTATTTTTTTTTGGGGATTTTCGAAATTTTTTAATTCGTGTCATTTCTGAGATAATTCTTGTTATTTTCTAATTCCCCGTTATTTTTTTCAATTTTTGGAAAACTTGGTAATTTTCGTTATTCCCGCAATTTTTCGCGCTTTTTCCAGTAATTATTTATATTTTCAATTTTTTAATTTTCAATTTTACTAATTTCCAAAAAAATTCGGAATTTTCTAATTCTCCCTAAGTTATTGTAATTTTCGTAATTTCAAAAAATTGTGATTTCCGTTATTTTGGGAATTACCGTAATTCACGTAATTTTGAAATGACTTTGTAATTCTTTTCCGTAATATTTCGTAATACCCGTAATTTTTGTAATTTTCGTAGTTTTTTGTATTTTTCTCAATTCCCGTAATTTTCATAATTTCTCATAATTCCCGCAAATTTTCGTCATTTCCGTCATTTTACTAGGTTCCGTAAATTTTTAAAATTCCCATTATTTTTCGTAATTCCCGTAATTTGTCTTGTTAGTTTTCGTAACTTTTCAAAAATTAGTAATATTTAAATAATTGACGTAATTTTGGAGTGACTTCGTAATTCTTTTGCGTAATATTTGGCAATTCCCATAATTTTTGTAATTTCCGCAATTTTTTGTTATTCCGTGATTCTCGTAATGTTCCGTAATTCTCGTAAATGTTTGCAACTCTCTCTAATTTTTCATATTTTACGTAGCGTAATTCCCGTAATTTTTCGTAACTTTTCAAAAATTATCGTTATTTTCGTAATTTTGAAATGAGGAAAAATGAGGATAAAATCGTGGAAAGTGATGATAAAATCACAAAAAAAAGAGTCAAAAATCGCAAGAAAAATATGAGTCAAAAATTTCAAAAAGAGTGAATTTAAACTCGCGGAAAAGTAAGATGAGACTCTCGGAAAAATGAGGATAAAGTCACGAAAAGTAAGGATAAAATCGCGGAGAATGAAATATGAATCGCGGAAAAGTGAGGATAACATCGCAAAAAAAAAGTGAGACAAGAATCGCGGAAAAATGAGATTATATTTACAGAAAAGTCGGTTTACAATCGTGAAAAAGTGGATTTAGAATTGCGGTAAGTGATGGTAAAATTGCAAAAAAATGAGTCAAAAATAAAAAAAAAAAATATTTTTCAAAAATCACAAAAAAAGTGAGGTCAAATTAGCGGAAAAGTGGAGATAAAAATCGCGGAAAGTAAGGGAACAATCGCGGGAAAATGAGGATGAAATAGCAGAAAAATAAGTTTGTAATCGCCGAGGAGTGAGAGCCAAAAATCGCAAAAAAGTGAAAACAAAATTGCAAAAAAGTGGGTCAAAAATAACAAAAAAAATGAGTCAAAAATTTCAAAAAAAGTGAGTGTGAATTTGTGAAAAAGTGAGATAAGAATCGCGAAAAAATGAGGTAATATTTGCGGAAAAGTGGGTTTACAATCGCGGAAAAGTGATAGTAAAATCTAAGATTTCTAAATTATGACGTCATCAAATTGGATTTTTCAATGAATAATAAATTGGAAGCATCTTTCCTATATAAAATTATTGAATTTGACATTTATCAAAAGATCCAAACAACCAGCACCTTGTTTTACAGGTAATGAAATGTCTTGTCAGTTTCTTGAAAGTATGTCGTGGTCAGTAATTATTTTTGCTAGAAATACAACAAAATACAGAAGAAAGAGAAGATTGCATCGATCCCTTGAAAAATATAGATGAGGCGGCCAATCGGGCTACCTCAGTTGTTCCAATTTTACCATTAATATCAATGTAAATAACTAAAAATACAAACATTTTTGACGTTCGCTCTCAAAATTTGATGTTTCATTTTTAACATTAGTGCTATAAAGACTTTATGGCACTAGTGCGATAAAGTAACATTTTTAATGCTACGGGGGGTGTTAAAAATTGCATTTTTGACACGTTTGTAGAAAAATTTTTTTTTTTTAAAGATAAAAGTCAAAATGACATTAAGTTGGCAATGCAATGTAAAATTGTCAATGCTTTCAAATTTTTTATGTAGAAAAGGCTTGTGTTGCCAACACAGAAAAGTGTGCAAAATTTGAAAATAGGCATGCGAAATTGTGCAAATTTAGGTGAATAGGAATTTTTCAAGTTTTAGACAAACAAGGGGGAACGGTCAAGTTTGCCCCTAGTTTAAAAAAATGCTCTAGTTTTCGTTGTGTTGTGTGCAAAATTATTATGGTTTAGGTATTTATTTTTGAAATTTGTTTAATACAGGCGGAAACTTGACCGACCCCAAAATTTACTTGTTGGTAAATAAACCGATCTACTGGAAAATAAATAAATAATTCATAATTCGAAATTAAACATAAATTTCTAAGTGGCAAATTTGCCAAATATATTGAAAAAAAAACCTAAAGAAAATGATAGAATAGCATCCATCTATGATATTCGTTGGTAAATTATCAAATATGTTAGAAAATATATGCTTAACTTCCTAATTCCTTTTGGCACGCGTCTGTCTCCCTATGCACGCAAAGCAAATATTTCACTTTAATAACTTCATTAGAGAAGCAGACAGGGATGCTGGCTCGCTGGCTGGACGCTGAATCAACAGCACTGACAACTCGGCAACAGTGGGCAATAGACTCGAGCCAGCGTCCACACCGGCAAAAGCCGGCGTCCATCGAGGTATCAAAAATCAGAATACGGACGAGACTTCTAGAGACGTTAGTCTATAATATTCTTTGGTTTAAGGTACCAAAGGCTAAGCTGAGAATTGTAAATAAAGATTTGTTTTATGTTTGTAATAATATCTTCCCGATCAGCAATATGTTTACTATGTAGGTACAATAACTTCTTGAAACTCAAGAGAGCTTTTCTGATGTGATACTTACACTTGGTTACCTAGTTTTAAGTGCATTATGTATTTATTGTTGGACTTGTTTGTAAGAGAGTATACTTTTTGCTCGACTTTTTGTTTTCTTTTTTCTTAAGAATATTTTTAAAGCTTATTTTGATTTGTTCCTAACTGTAAAAACTATGTATATTACAAGTTTATGGGGTTTTCCCGTAAATAAATAAATAAATATATAAATGAAACAGCATTTGGTGCCTGATTTTTGTAGTTTAAGTCTAAGACATATTCAGGAACTGCTTAAAAAAGGTATTCTTTAGAACTTGGCTGTGCTTTATTCTTTATTTTTATTATATTTATTTGTTTTTTGCTGTTTTTTTTATTGTTTTTGTTTTAATTGCTCCTTTTCCTGTAATTACTCCAAGAGGGGTGTTGGAAAGTGTATCTCTGAATAAATAAATAAAGGGACTGGATGCTCGTCCGATAATCGGAATGATAGTGTTTTTGTTTCTATTCCGATGATCGGGCTACCAGTTTCTCTTGTTATTATTCCGCAAAATAATTTAAGAATTTACCTGTTACTTAGGGTATTATTTTCGGACTATTAGGATTTACTCATTTTATTCCGAAAATTATTTATGGTTTGAAATAGGTTAGAGGTTCCCTTATAATTATTAGTCCTAGCGGTACATGAAAAAAAACGGCAAATTGTGTTAAAAGCATGAATTTTGGTACACTTGGTCTTTGAACCATAACAATTGATTTGGCCCGTAGCACTACCCCACAACTGTCATTTGTTTATATTTGTTTAAACAATTCACTCGATCTAATAAAAAAGCACAAAACAGGCTCACCAGATGCCAATGCCAAATAAAATTTAGATTGGAAGTTGATAAGAAGGACGGAAAGTCATGCTGACCCATGCAAAGGCAATCTTGACCCAAGTCGCCACTTTGATTAATTGTTTAAACATATTGTTCACTTTTGTTTATGCAAAATTATTGATTTTTCGGATATTGCATGTGGGGAATTGATTTCGACTAATTAGGGGTCAAAAATCTCGAATAATAACATTAGAACTCGTTTGCAAGGCTTTTTTAATTGTTCTTCTGTATTATAGAAGAAAATATTGAACAAAATTTGACGCTCAAGTGACAGTGGATAAATAACTGAGGATAAATGGATTAATAAAACCATTAAATAATAGTATATTATGCAATGATCATGTATTAATGGCCATTACATGAGAGTTGCATACACTATTTTTTCTACTGCCATTGATAAAACTTATGATATTTAGATATGTCAACATTATGCTTAACTTTGAATAGAGATTTCATAATTGAGTAATCCATACAGTTGAAGGTTTAATTTTTTGTTGTAATTCTTCAAAATATACTCAAAACATTTTCTGAGAAGGATGATGTGTTTTTGGTGTTTCCAATCAATAAATTGTCCATATAATTCTTTGTAAAT